ATATATCCATCAATCCACCCACCCATTTTCTAATCCGCTTATCCTCACGAGGGTCGCGGGTGTGCTGGAGCCTATCCCAGCCATCATCGGGCAGTAGGTGGGGGACACCCTGAACGGTTGCCAGCCAATCTCAGGGCGCGCATAGACAAACAACCAGTTGCACTCTCTATCACGCCGAGGGATCATGGAAAGTGTTCCATTAACCTGCCATGCATGTTTTTGAAATGTGGGAGGGGACCGAAGTACCCAGAGAAAACCCGAGCAGAGAAACTCCATGCAAATTCCGGAGTGTCCAAACCGGAATCGAACCCTGCACCTCTGCACTGTAAGACGGACATGCTAACCAGTCGATCACCGTGCCGCCTGCTAACTAATTAAACAGTTAAACTCGATCCTAGTTTATTTGAATCAGGTGTGTTAGAACAGGGAGAGATGGAAAACATGCAGGACGGCAACTCTCGAGGACACCTATGAGCTAAATTATGAAGCGGTTAAACAGCTAAACAGTTAAACAGCCAAAGGGCTAAACAGCTAAATGGTTCAACTGATAAATGGCTGAATAGCCAAAGTGCTAAATAACTAAATGGCTACATTCTTAAATGGTTAAAGGGATAAAAAGTTCAAAGGGCTAAATGGTTAAAAAGCGAAATGGTTCGACAACCAAAGGGCTAAATCGTCAAATGGCTGAACTGCTCAATGGATAAATCATCAAAGACTAAATAGCTACATGGCTAAACAGCTAAGTGGCTAAAGGGCTAATTGGCTAAACATATACATGGTTAAATAGCCAAACAGCTAAATGTACAAAAAAACTAAACGGCAAAATGCCTCAACCTTTCCTCCATCAAGGTGAGTCATTTTTTTTTCCTCTTTCATGTGCATCATCGCCTTCTTGTCAAGTTTGGGTGAGCGGTCAGGGCCACCAAGGCCCTCACTGCTGGTCGAAAAACACTCTCAGAACCACTCAGCAAAATTTATTAGCTCAATTTGAATATCGTGGAAGAGACAACCACACATTCCAACCTCGAATTTATGTTAGCTTTCATCTTGTTGTTGTTGTTGTGTTGTTTCAGGTTTCTGAAGAGTCTGCTAATAATAGTTGTGCGAGTGTGTTGCGTGTTGTCGCCAGCGCAGTTGTAAAGTTGTAATGTGAAACATATGCAAGCCAATCTGTTGCGTTATTTATTCCGTACGTGCAACCACCGTTTCACGCGTCATCTCTCGGCGCTGCATGACTCTAATTAACACGTCATTAAAAGCATAATTCGCATCATTATCCTTTCGCACTCCACCAGCCAGCAGCAAGGCGACGGGGCGGCAAAGGAGAAGAAGAAGAAGAAGAAAATGTGTCTGTGAAGACGCCAATTTGGAAACTGCAGCACACTAAAAAAAAAAAAAAAAATCGCATGCGCCGCCAAATACACCAACTATAGTCTTTGCTGGATCATTAGAGCTTATCACTATAGGGCAGATGATTATATCACATGGTGAAAATTATTATTATTGATATAATTTTCACAATGCAAATATTACAAACAAATAAGCAACAACACAATAGAGTCCATAAACAGCTGTGTATGTATTGATGTATGTATATAACATAAGATATGGGCCCCCATCATTTGTCAACTTCAAAGACTTATAACAACAAAGCTGCGGAGAAACGAAACACCACGAAGCCAAACTCAAGGTATAGAGTGAATGCTGGACATTGCTCTATTCATCACATGTTTTGTTTGTAGGTGTTGCTGTGGCAGGTCTCTGAAGATTTATAATGACGAACATCTATGCTAATATCCATGAGCATGTCTATGGTGTTTCACATTGTATGTTAGCCTCCACCTAACAAATGTTTGCTGTACAGTGGTACCTCTACTTCCGAATGTCTCTTCATACGAAAATTTCAAGTTACGAAATGCCTCAACAGGCAAATATTGCCTCTCGTTATGAAAGAGATTTCAAGACACGAAAGGTAAAAATACAGAATGGGGTGTTACGTGAGCAAAAATGGGCGCCAGCAACACTGATGCGTGGCTATGGCTAACAAGCTAACGCTAAATGTCGACAACACGTGAGCTCTCGCATGCATGCACGCAGCTTGAGCGGAGCAACAACGCAACTTAACTTCTAGCTGCTTTCCCATTGGCTATTACCAAGCATCTTCCTCGCATCCCATTGGCTAAGAGGGACCTCTACTGTATGTGTCTTGGTGTGTAGGTAGAATGTGTTTATACAGCGTCCTCGTCATTCGCCCCTTCGGCAGTGAGGTGATCAGATAGTTCGACGTAAATATGAATCACCAAGAAAAAGTGTTCACCAGTCAGGCGATCGCTCACTACGCTGATGTTTGCCTTGGGCATTTTTGAAGCATTGTTAAAAGCCGACAAAATCAAACGTCATTGGATCAGTTCTTTACAAAACACCAGGCAAAAACCACTTCTGAGAGAGAACATGAACTAAAGAGGGCAAAAAATGATGAGGACGCAGTTAAAAGTTAAATCACCATAATTTTTAGTCTTTACTCGATTCTTTGTTTTTTTACATTACGCACAACTCTCATTTATTCTGCAATAATCTAATTCTAACATGCATTTGTTACATATTTTGATGCATTTTTATGCTTTAGGAAACATTTATGTCTGAATTTTGCGGGGGCTTGGAACGCATTAGGGCGTTTACATGGAAAACGCGTCTCTACTGACAAAATTTTCTAGTTAAGAAATTTCTTCCGGAACCAATTAATTTCGTACGGAGATGTACCACTATACTCAATTTCGATTGAACATTTTGGTGTAGAAAAACACAATGTGTAACGGTTTCTTGTTTTATGTGTCAGTTGTCCAGTCCACTCGGATTGGGACCATCAAACACACCGCCTTCCAAATGATTGTGCAAGTCACATTTTTCTCTCATTGTCCGAAACGGTTGTTGCAGATGAGTCGTGTTCAAGTCATCAGCTGTAAAGAATTCAAGAATTTAAATGTTTCCAAACAAACTCAAAAAAACAAAACAAAAAAGAAATCTGGAATGCCCTCTGCCCCGTTCTCCCGAGATAAACGAAGCTTGAATGTATGTCTGACAGATAATTGATGGGATGAATATGATATTCGTCATCAACATCAACTTAACAACACAGTGTTGATGACAACACCTTGGCGCGTTCAGACTACGACATCCATTGCAAGTTTTGTTTATGTTGTTGCTGCCGTTGACGACGGCCAGCGAACGGAGCCAACCGGCGCTTTTGAGCAATCGCAAACACGCGCGCACACATTTGAGTAATGTGTCCTGTCATCACAGCAGCGGGGGGGCCTTTTTGAATGGGAGGCGGCCATCTTTGGCGCAGCGGCATGACATTGAGGCAAATCGCTGGGCTCGTTTGCATGTGGGGGCGGGGCTAAAGAGGCTGAGCACAAACATTTTCTTTCGATTTTTGACGTGTGTTGAAAGCTGGGCAAAGAGTGTTAATGTCCGTTCATCAGCGAGGGACGTCCGAAGATTTTCAATGAAATGTTCAATCAAAGCGGTTTCCAACCTAAGCAACACTCCGTGAGTTCCGTGCGTTGAACTTGCGCCGCTCCCGAATGTTGAAAATAATCATGAAAAAGATCAGCGTCAACTCAGGACGTGAAAGACCAAATCGCAAATAACATTGACCCAAACGACACCGATGACAGTTTTGCGACCTTAACAAAAGCCGAATAAAAAACATCAATGACATCACCCATTTAAAAAAAACTCAACAATGTTAGAAATGACAAGATTAATGACATCAATGACATTGCGAGCAACATCAATGACATGAAAGACATATCATATACGTCAGCCACGAAATCAACTACTGGCCATTCTGCGAACATTCACATCGGTTCCTATCAAGCTAACGGCGGAAGCTACAATGTGCGCGCACACACACACACACACACACACACACTCACACACACACACACACACACACACACACACACACTCACACACCTGAACTAATGAGTGAAGACTACCTCATTTGAATACAAAAAGTGTTGATTATCCTAACAAGCTTCAAATGCTCTCACACCCCATTGTCTAACTTTTTAACTGATTAGCATCGCTCTCTTTCTCACACACACACACACGTACACACACACACACACACACACACACACACACACACACACACACACACACACACACACACACACGCATGCACACACGTGTGTGCAACTATACATACATATATACTGCACACAGTACATACTACACATATATTCATGTACATTCCACATGTATTAATACACCATATATGAAAAATGTGAGTGATGCTGGGTTATCGCTCTAATTTCTTCTTCCCTGTGACTTGAGTGTAATTAGCATGTAATTATAATGTCATTATGAGGTGTTAAGTCATTTACACCTTTGAATCTTCTTTGGCACCAAATCTTTCCAGGGCCAAGTCGATGTTTTGCACGCTTGTCTGTTTTTGGTCGCCGTGACGACAGGAAGTCATCTGATGATGTCTCTATCCTGCCTGGTACATTTAATTACTTCAGTTGCATATTTGTTTGTACAGGTATTTAGGTGAATTGAAAGTAGCTGAATAGATTCAAATACTTTATGTCCCTGTATGTGCTTCATGTACTGAAAATTCAGTTACTTGGATACATGGAGGAAGAAGGCAGTACTTTAATTGCATGTATATTTATTTCAGGTTCCCGGACAGCGCGCGAAGTTTTTACTTCATGTACATGTAAGCACTTGTAGTCGTGACTTAACTTGTGGGCACAAAAGTGGGCCGGATACAAGCTGTCAATCAAGCACACAAAGAAAATTGCTCAGTCATTTAGATGTCAAATGAAAACTAAATCACTTTTTTGTGAGGATGAAAGTTTGACTTTGAGTCCTCATTTCTCTCTCTGCCATCTGTGGGTGTCCTCGTTCGTTTCCATGGCAACACAACACGTCATATTTCATTCTATTTTTAAAATGGATTTTCTGGTGGGAGGAAAAAAAACAAGGTAAGGAAAACTTCATTCTAATGACTTTTATTTTTCATACATGAAACACAGGAAGACGAAACTGTTCCATCTTTCTGGCCCCGCCCCCTTAGTCAGAGGAAGGCCGCTTCAAATCATTCTCATTCCGAATCAACGTAGTGCATGACAACATTGTCACATGACCTCCGAGAACGAGACAGCATGATGAAGAGGACGATGCCAAAGGGCGATGTGAAAAATCCCTCCTTTCATTTCGGGCTAAGTGTGTCCCTTGTTGGGTCAGTCGACTCTTGGAAAAACAGCCAGAAACTCATCGTCATCACCGGGTCTCTTTAGTTTTTCCGGCTTTCAGTTTAATTGAAGTTTGATGGAAATCCTGCAGTGTATACGTGCGCGCGCGTGCGTGCGTGTGCTGGTCTTGGTCCCAGATGTCCACCAGGCTGGCGTTCGTCTGTTCACAACAGACGCCGTTTGCTTTTATTCACTTTATTAATACATTTCTTTCTCTTTTTTGAAGAAGAAGATACATTATGTAAAAGTGACTTATTAATATTTTGCATCAAAATAGTTTCTTGCGTTCTAGGAGTGCCTGGAATGAAACAAGCTAGTTAATCTGGAGGTGGGCGACAATTCATTAAAACACGCTTTTAGGTGAGCTGTCCTCAGTTTGGCGAGATTGTGACACTGCAGTGTGGCTCATTTACATAACCCCGCCCCACGCAGCAAGTTCTTCAGCCAATGGCATGGCAGCTAGGTAGCAAGTGACCACGCATCACAAGAGAGAGAATGCAAGTTTCCGCGGGGGTTTGTAGTGATTATTGACGCACCGTGTCATGCTAGGAGGCTAACGGTAGCTCGCACTGGAGAGCCTTTTTTGTGTGTGTTTGTTGGCACACTTGAAAACCAAGAATGTTCTTTCTCCTTCATCTCAGTCCGAATGGATGGCAAACGTTAAGCGTCCACGTGGCGTTTCCGGGCCAGCGTTCGTCGAGTTAGCTCAGTGGTCATCGATGTCGCCGACGCATTCGGCAGGGTTCTGCTGCGTGGCAGCTCGCCATCTGCTGACGTGCTGGCTGGCTTTGGAGCGCTTGTGGTCCGCCTCAGGGGCTTCCTCCTCCAACTTCTGACGCTTATGTTTGGTTCTGCGGTTCTGGAACCACACTTTCACCTGCACACACGCACACAGGTGTCAGGACAGGCTAACTTGGCTACATGCTAATATACAGAGAGTAGGGTGACTAGATGTCCACTTTTTGAGATCGTTTTACTTCACTGAACGCTGTGACATGTCAATCATGATATGGTACCACTGGAATGACGACGTGCCTCCTGGCTTAGAACCAAAACTCACTGTCACTCTCCAACCAACCACACCTTATATTCTAGATTGATACTGTATGACATCTTACACCTGAAACACTAGAACGACCACACGTTACACTCTAGATTCTCTAGAACCTTACGTTCTCGACATTTGACACCTGACACACAAGAAATAACCTTACAATCCATAAACTGGCACCTTCCAACCTAAAACCAACCTTACGCCGTAAACTTGACACTTCAGAACCTAGAGTAACCTTCCCTTCAGTCCTTTGACACAGTAGAACCAAACTTACATTTGAGAAACCTTTAACCCCATACAACCTGGAACCCAAATTAAATTCGGGCAGGGCTGTAGTCAAGTCCATTTCTATCGAGTCCAAGTCAAGTTCGAGCCACAAAGGTCTGAGTCCAAATCCAAGCCTAAGTCCAGATGAGACCAAGAATAAACCTTAAGACAGAAAAATACAATTTTCACGACGACAATATGAGAGAAATTTCATTTTGCTCAACACTCTTCTTAGGTGGACCCTTTAGTTTGATTCGAATGCGGCTCTAGACCCGCGGGTTGTCGACCCCCGATCTAGACCATCAACACTTAACAGTCTGTCCAACCTTACATTCGAGTGTCAACCTTACAAATTAAAGTAATATATATTCTACAAATGTTGACACATTATAACCAACCCCACATTCTATACTTTTGACGGCGCGAACACGAAAACATACCTAAGATTCGAGAAACGTGGACACCTTCTACCCTAGACTGGACCACACTTTGACCCTAGACCCTAGGACCACTTGCAGTGTTGCCGTTTGCTCACCTGTGTCTCCGTAAGGCAGAGAGATGAGGCCAGCTGTTTCCTCTCCGCGCCGACGACGTAGTGGTTTTTGTCAAATGCTCGCTCCAGACGCAGAAGCTGCGAGGGAGAAAACGCCGTGCGGATCCGTTTGGGTTTCCGGGAGAAAGCGCCATGCAGCAGAAGGTTCTCCGCACCGCCGTCGTCACCTGAACGCACCATACGGGAGGTCACAAGCAGGAAGTGGGCCGCTAACAGGAAAGGAAGCTCACAGCAGGGTTTAAGCATGTTAACATGCTAATGTTTGCAAACACATTCACAAGACCCAAACTTAGAAACAAGACCAGGAGTCCTCAAGAGCCCCTCTTCAGCCTGTTTTAAATGTGGCTTATCTTGAATCCTCAAACAACGTATAGACTCCAACCATAAAAAAAAAAAAAAGGATGACAAGAAACGAGCGAAAATGTGTTTGATTGGATTAGCATCGCAAATGTGCTAAACACTGCCATGAGCTTCATTTCCTGTCAGGTTGGGCTATCTTGATAACGATCCTGATCATTTGAATCTGGTGTATTGGGGTAGGAGACATCTAAAACAGGCGGTACCCCTGAACTAGCCCCACTCTTATACCCTAAAACCAATCCTATACCCCAGCATTAACCGCACACCCTAGGACCAACCTTAGGCACTAGACCCAATTTAGAAACAAAAATCAACCTTAGAAACTCGTGTCAATCCGACCCACTTGGTACATTAAACCCGAGGATCACCCGTACACCCTCGAATAAACCTCACTCTCGAAAACCGACCTGGACACCCAAAGAAGAAGCTTAAACCCTCGACCCAACTTTACAGTCTGGAACCAACTTTCCACCCTAGAAAAAAAAAAGGATGACAAGAAACGAGCGAAAATGTGTTTGATTGGATTAGCATCGCAAATGTGCTAAACACTGCCATGAGCTTCATTTCCTGTCAGGTTGGGCTATCTTGATAACGATCCTGATCATTTGAATCTGGTGTATTGGGGTAGGAGACATCTAAAACAGGCGGTACCCCTGAACTAGCCCCACTCTTATACCCTAAAACCAATCCTATACCCCAGCATTAACCGCACACCCTAGGACCAACCTTAGGCACTAGACCCAATTTAGAAACAAAAATCAACCTTAGAAACTCGTGTCAATCCGACCCACTTGGTACATTAAACCCGAGGATCACCCGTACACCCTCGAATAAACCTCACTCTCGAAAACCGACCTGGACACCCAAAGAAGAAGCTTAAACCCTCGACCCAACTTTACAGTCTGGAACCAACTTTCCACCCTAGAACCAGCCTTGCAAACTAGACCCAACTTTCCACTTGAGAACCAACCGTAAAAACTAGGTTTACACTCGAGAACCAACATATTCCACCCTGGCCCAACATTATAGGAAATTAACCTCAGAGCAGTGTTTCGCACATTAGCGATGCTAATCCAAGCTAAGCCATTTTCCCTTATTTTAATTTTTTTCTTTGTCATTTTATTGATTTTACGGTTGGAGCCTGTGTGTTGTTAGAGGATTTGGGATACAGTAGCAAAAATAAAATCGTTGATCTGATTTGTTTGAAGCGTGTATGTGGTGGCTAAATGTCGGCCAATGGCGTGCGTGCGGTGCGGTCCTTCATTGCAACGTTTGATATCGTTTACATAAAAACAAAAGTGTATATGGTTAGCCTGAAAAGATCGTCGGCGACCGTCACGCCGCACGCAAAACGTCGGTTGACTTGGTGGCCGCCAGGACAAAGACGACAACAGTGACGGCGAGCGCAAAGTGGCAGACATGTCGCATTCACATGCAAAGCACACGCTGAGGATCAACGGCAAACCGAATCGCTCACTCATTCGCTAGCCACTATTTAGGGAGTTTCATTTCGGGGATATAGAGTTCTGTAAAGTGTCCCTTTGGAGTGAGTCGGGACTCGATCACGAGTGAATGATTCCAAACGAAGTCCATGCTGTTACTTTGCAACATCATCTTTTCCATTGACGTTTCGCACAGCGATAGAGAACAAGTCTCGAATTATCACTAAAACATTGTTTTCGCAATGGCTCCGCCTTCAATGAGGAATGTCATGATATAAAGATGGAAGCGTATTTATGCCACCAGATTCGGAATCTGAATTTACTAACTGAATTTTATTATCATCAAAAACCTTCAATGTAAACTTTTTAACTTTAAAAAGTCAACATTGGGCTCCAAAAATCAACACGCAGCGACAAATGTGGCTGCAAAATGGCGCTTCTGGGTCACTGAGAGAAGCCAGGCCAAAGCAATCAACCTCCGAAAACCGGAGGTGCTTCACGTGACCGCCTCAGTCTGGTTCACCTGGTGATCTTTGACAGCTGAATGTTGGAATTTTCCAAGCTGAAAAGTCTACATTGAATATTTTAATGGTGATCAAATTCAGTGTGAAGAAATTCAGATTTTCAATTTGATGGCACACATATACTTCCATACAAAGATCGATAAAATACGCACGCACACACAGAAAGTGATGAAGAAGTGGTGGGCGGGGACATTGCAGGGGAGCAGCAGATGGCACTGATGAGTGGTTGATGACGCTAAACTAACGTCCCCAGAGCACTGGAAACAAGTCGGGACTTGTGAGTCCGCTCGTTACAAACACACCTGATTATACTCATTAGCGTATTTTCACCACACGCTCATGTGCATGTTAGCCACCAACGCCTGCGGGGTATACGTTGGTTTATACGCGACGGTGCTGAGATGCTAACCAGATGGGTGACGGAGTAAACTACTTCTTGTTTCTCGTTAGAACGACACTGAAGTACATGCGCACACGCAAAGTATTTAATATATGAAAGAAGTGTGTGCTAACGTGCTTTTGTAGAAAAAATAATACATTAAATAAGCGGATCAGATAACGGATGGATGGATAAACTCCAGTAAAGAACAAGAATTTGACCTCAATGTGATTGATAAATAAAAAATGTAAATCGAAACATCACACAAATTAAAAAGGATTAATAATCGCATACAAAGACACACAAAACAATAAAACACGGTCACAAAACATGCAACTTCCAGCTGCAGGTACACGCACGCACAAATACACAATCACAAAAAGGACACGCATTTTTAACACGAACAAACGCAAATATGCACAACTGCCCTGCAAGAACACCCACACTTACACACACAAAAAATAATCAAATAAACACGACACTCAAACACACAACGAGACAAACACACACACATATACATAACCTCCACCTGGAGGTACGCACGCACACACACACACCCGTGCGCGCGAAGAGGCCTTCTTCGCGAGGTTGCTGGACCCAGACTCTCCATGAAGGCCTTGAGGCCCCTTCCGTCCTCAGTCTGGGCGTTACGTCATCTTCACGTCAATATCACGTTTCGTATGATATCATTATCATCGTCAATAATCGATGACGTCAACACAAGGATGTGTCAGTCAAATTTTGATCAACTCATCCCCAAAAGAAATGGATAAAAAGCAAATGCAGTCAACGCAAAGCACGCATGCATGAATACCTGTGACGAAATATCAATACAAAGTTCAAAACGCTAACAACAAAAAAATGACAAGTGGCACTTCAACTTGAAATGCCGTTTGGCTTTTTTTTTTTTGCGAACAACTCTTGGTGATTTTCAAAATGATCAACAAACGTTTTCATATTTTATTCGGTTGGAAATTGTAAGTATTTTCTAAAGATTTTCAAATGCACGAATAATAATGAAATCGACAAGTTTCACAGACGCCTTGAGGTGATTTTTTTTCATGACAAACCTCCTTACTGGAAATTGTGTCAACAAACAAGTACAAGAGTAAAGTCAGTTTTTCATCTTTGATTTTTTTTATTTTTTTATATTCACACAAAAAAATAATACCCGTGAGTAAAACTAACGTGTTCACGAGAATGTAAACGTCAGATTTGGAATGATGCATATTTTATTTTATTTTGACAAACTAGCAATGAATTCATCACGTTTGCTGTTAGAAAACAATCATGACCATTTTCGTTTCATCGCATCATAATTTTTCTCATTAGATTTTATCTTCGAATTTTTAATATATCATTTTTCACGATTTCTGATCCGATTTTCTTTTTAGAAGTGTTAAAAGTGCTTGTTTGGGGTCAATAATAACAACAATGACGAGAACGACAACGAATCATTCATGTTCGTGTCTCATATATGAATTGTTCTTGAAATCAATAAGTGAATAGCTAAAGATGACAACGATTTACAACGAATCAATTTTTTCATTGTTTTATTGTCAAACAAATCGATTTAAGGATGCTGATGTATTTTGCTCCGTTATAAAATCAGGACTACAACATAAATGAAAGAAAATGGCAACAGTTGAACACTTTTCCATCACTTGCAAGCGACTTTCAAATGAAATAATTGCCTGGATTTAAGTTTTGCTGAGCTCTTTTTTGCTTTTTTGTATGAGAAACATTTGTCATTTGGACCCAACATGACGTCATTCCTTACGCGTCTTTTTCAAAATCAAACATTTTGTCTCACTTTGTGAGACATTCTGCATTTTTGGGTCTTGTAATTCTTACTATGGTGCTTACCTGCCTGCGTGTGCATGTATCTGTGGTGGTTGTGGAGGATCCACGAGGCGGGGGGGCCCGCGGTGGCGGCGGCTGCGGAGGGGTACAACAGGCTCACCCCGAGTCCGGGATGATGTCGGCCGAACACATGCAGTCCTAAATTGGGTCCGGCGGACGGGTACGAAGTCCGGACGGGGGAGCCTACGTGAAGTGGGTGCAGGGCCTCCGGGAAGCGGAGCGCGGTGGGCCGGATGGGCTCCTCGAAGGCAGCCCGGACGGTTTGGAAGCAGGCGGGCCGCTGCCGCTGCTGCTGTTTCCCAACCAAAGCCTCGATGGAGAAACACTTCTTGACGCCTCCGAGTTGCTGCGGCTGCAACATGGCGGCCGGACGGACCCCCCGATTCCCCGACACCTCACAACGAAACCATGCCGCTCCCCCGAGCACCTGCACGCGTTCGGCTTCCTTGTCCTGGCGCGCGTCAAGTCGATCATGTGACGAGCGATAGAGGGAATTAAGTCCAAGCGCGAAGTGGGGACACCCCCCCCCCCTCCAGCAAAGAAACTTCTCCCCACTGCAGTCCAAGCGCGAAGTGGGGACACCCCCCCCTCCAGCAAAGAAACTTCTCCCCACTGCGCGCGCGCGCGTGTGTGCGTGTGAGACGCGCAACTCACCTGCCAGAGCTTCGCCCTTCTCCGCGGAGGTGCGCCGCGCACGCCACGCATGCGCACAAGAGGACAAGTAGGAGGAACAACAAGTCAGGCTTTCAGCACTTGTCGGCCTTCTCAAATCAACACGAGTCAAAGCCCCAAAAGGACTCAAATTTGTCAGTCAAAACCACAAACCCGAGAATCTAAATCATCCCAAATCTAAAACAATCCAAATAGCAATCAAAATAAATTCAATTAAACGTATCAACGTTAAATCATTTTTTACCAGACTGCATTTGTTTCAAGTACTCTATAACTCCATCGAAGTACTCGCGCAATGGATCAAGTACATGAAGAAAAAAGTACTAACCCTTCAAAAACAAACGAACAAACAAAAAAAAACATACAAATCGAACACACACACACACACACACACACACATCCACATCGAATTTTAAATGAATATACAACTAAATATTAAGGGTTCATCGATATTTTTTACATTATGTACATTGATTTAAAGTTGTTTTATCTTAAAATCACGTGTATGATTGTCAGTAAAAGCGCAACTAATCCAATTAAACTCACGTCACATTGTTGATTTGAATAATTAATTGAGTGATGCGTCACAAACTTTCAAAGCATTTCAGATATATTTTGGTAGTTTTGCTAATTGTCGAGAGCAAAAATGTGTGAAATAAAATTCGTAAGTCATGATTTATTTTTTTCACTCATGTTTGTTCAAGTAGCCTAGATGCGTCAACACTTCAAACACTCGCACGCACACGTACATTACATACACACACGTCTGCATTAAAACAAGTTGTATCCTCCCTGAATTTTAGGTCGAAATTCGTTAATAACGAATGTTACGACTACGTACAATAGTCATTTTGCAATATAAATCAAAATGTCATTACGCGCACGTTGAAAATAACAAAGAATGTCGGGACTGAGTTACATAATTCTGATGATTTCCTTGTTTAAAACACCCACGAACAATCATGTTCAACATATATTTGGGTGCCCAAAAAAGTTTCAAATGTTTTAAGCGGTAAAGCAAATGGATGGATGATGTCGCGAAATTCGAAAATGGCACTGCGTTTTTCCGAATTGGCTGTAGTTTTTCAGATCTTCCACTTGTTTTAAGTGCTGAAAACACGGAAATGTTGACATTCTTTTTATGTCCCAATTTTGCTGAGACGGTATCTGTCCTTTCAAGCATATCCAAAGGGTATCCTGTCATGTTGGATGCGATATCGTCAAAAGACCCCAATCTTATCGCTTCTGTGTGTATTAACTGTTAAAAAAAATTAAAATCTATGATATCAAAAACTAGCGCCGATTCAAAGAATCGAATGTCATTGTTGGACTCAGCAGCCTAAAATTACACAGAAGCCTCTGAAATATGTTTAGCACCGCCCCCCCCCCAAAAAAAGTTTGCAAAGTGTTATTATTGTTCGAATGGTTTTGAGTGATATCAGTGAATGATTATTCATACTGATCGTAAATTATACTAACGCTTCATTATTGTGTTGATTGGAAATAGAAAAGACACAAGAAGGAAAAAACAGTTTGAATCGCTTTGGATACTTAAGGATTAATCATTTTGAAAAAAACAGACAGGACCGAGGTGGGGTCCCAGAGGACACCGCTAACATTGCTACAAAAACCACCAGTGTTTCTTATGTTTTTTTTTTTTGCCCTTGTTCCAGTCAAAACGGATATCAGACATAATCAGCAGTAAAGTTCATTGGTACTTCTACTTTGATTCAGTATCACGCAAGTATCTCAAGTTGTACGAAAGTACCATCATTTGCCACCTGTACCGCCACCTCTCTCCGTGTCCCACCTCAACGGAACCCCGTGTGAACCACTTCATCCTCATTAGAGACATTAGCCATTAGCATTTTGTGCCCCAGGACAAGAGCGTTTTTTCTCATTAAAAGAGGTGGCAAGGACAAGGCCACGCCCTCTCATTAGTCAACAACAGGAAGTGGACTTCGTGCGAGTGTGTGCGTAAATGCACCAATCAAGTGTGTTGGTGTGTGAAGGCGGGAACGTCTCCGACAACTCTTTGCCGCCCCCCAGTGGCCGAACTGTCAGTCACATAATGAACTGATAAAAACATGAAAATTAAATCGTTGTGGGATTAATAAAGAATTAAACAAAACAAAACATAAACCCATGTAGGGTGTCCCCCGCCTACTGCCCGAAGACAGCCGGGATAGGCTCCAGGACATCAGTAACCCTCGTGAGGATGGCTTGGATAACGGATGGATGTTAATCAAGTGAGTGTGATTCTTTTGAAAATATACAACTTTTTCAAAAACAAGAATTTAAACAAAGTAAAAGACATTATTGAATGCTGGGCTTTAAAAATGACCATATATCTTGAAATACAAAAGAGTTGAAGAAAATATACAACTGTGAAAAATCTCAAATTTTTTCATAAACAATTTTTTTTGTGGGGTGGGGAGGGCATGATTATTGTTTATATTGTTGTGGTCTCGTTTTATTGAGTCATGGCAACAAAAACGGGAGCAAAAGCTCACAACATGAAGATAAAAATCCAAGATGACAGTTCAGTTCACAGAAAGTTTTTATAAAGTTAAACTTGTAAAAAAAAGTGCAAATGCGTGACAACAATTCTTATTTTCACAACAAAAATGGATCTTTGGCAAACAAACCACCTGAAAAAAGTTTTAAAAAAAAAACAGATTTACAGGAAGTTCTTTAAAACAAACAGTAGAATCAACAAGCAGCTTCAACTGAAGCTGGATGCTCATTGCTTAATATGCTAACGTGACACGCCAACACTAAAAACTCATTAACTACAAAAACTACATGCTAATATGCAAACATGACGCGCTAACATTTAACGTTTGGACAAGAAACGTCAACACCACAAACTCATTCCAGAAGAAGCTTCATGCTAAAATGTGATGTCGACATTTTGCATTTTAATGAGTGAATACGCTAACCACAACAAACTTCTTCTAAGTTAACAAGCTACATACTAGCATGACATCAATATGGAGCCTTTGATCAAAAGGACACACCAACACTACAAATTTGCTCTTCATTTTGTGCTCATGTACGAAAATGTGATATTGACATTTGGCATTTTCCTGTGTGAATTCACTAACATGACATATATTAACTAGAAGGCACATTCTGACATAAGGACATGCTAATGTAACACTGAACTGGAGGAAGCCACATGCATGTTGACGTGTAACATCAACATGTAGCACTGTAACATGAGGACAGGGCCACGCGAAAAAGTTATTCTTAACTAGAAAAAGGTACATGGTAACATGTTAATGTGACATGTCAACAAGTAGCATTTGCACATAAGGACACATGAATATGACAAACTTGTTATGAGCTAGAAGGAGCTCCATGCGAACATGCCACATCAACATGGAGCATTCGAACACGTGAAGATGCCAACATCAGTTGCGTCAGTAAACTCAAACCTCACCATTTATTTATATTTAAAAAAACAAACAAAAAAAGCTACATGCTAACATGCTCGCATTTCTGCAAGCTGTGCGTGACATCATGGCCACATGACTCAGCATCTGGCAGTCCTGAAGTTTAGAATTGTTTGTCGTGTCCTGTGAAAATTTAAAAAAAAAAAAAAGATAAGCGCACCTGTTGCACTTGTGAAATCAAACCTTTCAACATTGTCCAGGGAACAAAAAGAAAAATGTGTCATGGGACTTGGTGTTGTAAGTGTGGCCAACGTCCGCAGGAGGCCGATCAGGAGGGCGCGACGGCGGCCGCAGCCATGTTGAGGGTGGGGCACGCGTCTCGGTGATTGAGTTTGAAGAGCAGCTGCTCTTTCTCCCGCGTCAACGTCTCGTTGAACAAACGCTGACGCTCCAACGACGCGCGCGCCTCCTCGCGCTCGCGACACGTGTGCCTGAACCGCAAAAAAAAAAACAACAACACCAATAACACTTACCAAATGCTTATTTGGATTGTTTTTCCCAATCCATTTCAATTGGGGTCAATTATATGCAGATTTTCGCTATTGGCGGGCCGGGCTGGTCCCGATCCCCTGCAAATAGCGGGGATCGTGCGTATTTAAGGAACAATCCAGAAAAAAAAACAAAGTCCCCAAATATGTGAATCTGCGGGTGTTGAACAGTGAGTATGCAAGGGGTCCACGGTTCAAACTTTCTAGAAAGAAAACACGTGACCTGCAAGTTAACGTTGAGATTGGGCCAGCCAACGCCATTTTGGCTTCCTGACTTGAATATTCCGATTTCCTCATCTTCAATCAAGCTAACATACGAACGCGCCAGCATGTTTTCGTGCCACGAGAGGAAAATCCCGCTAGGCAGGCGTGCAAAGCGCTTTCGGCGGACCCGCGGACGACTTACTGCAGGGCGCTTTGACTTTTGTCCAGACGAACTCGCAAGTCTTCGTTCTGCTGCAACGTTTGCACCAAGTGGTCCTCGGCGCACAGCTTCTCTTCCGCCTGAAACACGATGACGACGTCACCTGGACTGACATCACCTGAACACAGCCGTCATTTCGCCGCAATAACTTGGGAAAGTGCTCCCCTGATTTGCTGATCTCAACTCAACTGACGCAGCAACTACATCAGCAAACTACTGCGAGATGACGCACTATATTCGTCGATCGTCCACACACCACTACGACAACACCTACGACGCGGCACGAACGAGTACGTCGGACATACGACAGCGTCGCGAAGTCGCGTGCCGAAGCGCAGCCTTACCAGTTGCTCCATGTCTTGCAACTTCCTATTTTGTTCCCTGAGGCGTTCGCTCTTCATCTCGATCACGAACAGCAAAGACTCCTGCTCCGACTCCCAGAATGCACCTGGACTGCCATGCGCCTGACACATGACGTGATCGGCGGTGAGGCGGAAGTGGCCGGTGGTTGCCATGGAGACACACGCACAGGCGCTTTTACCTGAATGTTCCTGAGAAGATCTTTCTTGAAAGTGGACTCTTGGACACGCTTCTTTAGGTCGTTATAACGCTCAAGCTCTGCCTTCAAATGGCTCACCTCCACCTACACACACACACGCGCACACACACACACACACACACACACACACACACAAAAACACACACAAAAGCAGGCTGATGACAATAAGCGTGGTGGACACGCGTGTCAAATGGTTGCCGCGGTTACCTTCAACAGGTTCTCACTGATCTGAAATTTCTCCGTCAACTGAACTTTGACCTCCTCATGAGCTCGCTCAACCTCTGTGGAAGACAACATGGCTGTGAGATACATGCACACACATCCTCCCAATACAAAGCTTCAAAGTGCCACAAAGAATTGTTGGAATGAGTCAAAGTTGGATCGACGCAGGGCGGCCAGGACACTTATATTAAAAGCGCGGCAATCAAATTGTACTCAAACTAGAGGCCGTAATTTCCTGACTACATTTTTTTTTCCTCCACGCTTTCAACCCTGCGGCGTAAACAACAAAGTGGCGAATTGATGACTTTTTACGAGCTATGGATAAAGGCAACCAGCAAATCAGGGGACCGTATCAAACACAAGTACAGGGAGGATAAAAAAAATGCTTTTTGCCTCTGCGTCTTATGTGTACAACATCTTGTTCTTTTTTAAAATCAGTGCATGTGTCGTATACTCTGGCTGCGCTCAATCGTCCCGGAAATCACAAAATTAACTACCAGAACTATTCAAAAACAAAATGTCAGTTTAATTCAAAACAACAAATCCAAATTAAAACCAAATGTTATTTCCAGTTTGACATTAACATTTGAAGACACGCGCTCACAGAAGCCTCACGCAAACAAATAAAAAAGCACAATAACATGGGGGGGGGGGGGTAACTACCGAGTAAGTGTTGTTGGTGTTGTTGCGCAGTTTGTTGCCGTTGCTGTTGATGAACGGCACTGAGCTGAGCGCAGGTCTCCGTCTTGACCTTCGCAAACAGACAAGTACACACGCCCGCGCCACGTTAGCCAATGAGCGCGTTTGCCTGCGCACGACGCGCGTCAAGCCGAGCCCACCTTGTCGAGTAGGGCGAGCACCAGCGTGCACACTTCCTCGTCGGCGTGCTCCTTGAGAAGCTCCGACCTCTCTGCGCCGCCGTTGGCCGAGAGAACTTCCTTCAGGATTCTCAGCTGCCACTCTAAGCGCTCCAGGTGCTTCTCCAACGCCGCCGCCGCGTTGGCATTAGCCACGCCGCCACTGCGTCGCTCAGAATGCGCACGCTTAGCTAAGAGAGACCAGCAAGTCACATGGCGGCAACCACAAAGATTTTATCACCTCCTCCAGTAGTAGCACGCACACAAACACAGCAGCACATGAACAAGCACAAACATATCGTCGGCCACAAAGCAATTTTTGGAACACACTATTTCTTCGATTGATACTGTAACAAAAACACCCACCAGATGGGTGAACAAGTAAGCGAAAAGGAAAAAGACCCAATAAAAATACGAGTGTGTTCTACGAATTGTTTTCCAAAAATATTGAAAAATGACAAAGGCTATGTGGCCGACAATATGCAGACATAAACATATAATAGTGCAAACAAACATTCAAACACAAAGACATGAACACACACACACACACACACACACACACACACACACACACACACAC